AAGAACATTCGGTATTTCTCCTCTGCTTGGCAGCTTCATTGGTACTTGCATGCAAATTCAAATGTGGTGCAACTTGGTGCAATCCCTAAATTTGCCAAGAACTACCGGGTAATCTCATCAGGTGACATTGTTTTAATAATTTAGACATTTATTAGAATTCTGGTAATACATGTACATGTGACATAACACAGGCTTTGACCTTTCACCTGGTCAACTACATGCATACCTTAACCAAAGGCACACTCACCGGTAAATAAATCACAAATAAATCACAAAGACAACTTCTTAAAATATACTGTGAATTTCATCAAGGCATGAATGTTTTTCAAATAAAATATTTTTAGTTTTATCAATTTCAAATGATGATTGAGAACAATATGACTAATCACAACACCTTAATGGATGCTCAAAGGTAAATTGGCCAATGATTGAGGAAACCAGCAAAGACTCGTGGGTAATGGGCATTACCAACTGGCTTCTATAGCTAATGTATGTATTCTTTGGAATGAAGTACAGCGAGGGTCTTTCAATGTAAATATTTTATAAATTTACATAACAAGCAGCCTGTCGGCTGAGATAGCTCTGCTGTTACCAATGCACATTGCAATTAAAGAACAGAAGATATCATTAGAAAATGAACAATATGTAGACTTGCTGTTTTTAACAAGAATTCAAAAATATCACTTTTCACCAAAAATTGACAAAAATAATCATCAAAATTAGATAATTGAAGATATCCCCACAAAATTAACAAATCTGAAATATATCCGTTTACCCGAAAATTATCAAAGATTTATAGAAAAATTAATGAAAATACCATGAAGGCGCGACAATGTCATATAAATCATTATCGGATAATTATCGTCTAATAAAATCTAATGAAATTCTGGCAGAGATGTCTAACTTAGACATTTTTAGACGATATTATCGATAATATCGGAGAAAACGAACTGTCCCAATAGTTGCGCAGACAGACCTGTCTAACTTAGACATTTTTAGACTTTATTAGACATTGTTAGACGATATTATCGATAATATCGGAGAAAAACGAACAGTTGCAATAGTTGCCCAGACAGACCTGTCTAACTTAGACATTTTTAGACGATAATATCGGATAACGTTAAAAAGTGCAATGTCACGCCTTCCTCGAAAATACAGTAAAAAAAGTCACAGAAAAAAAAAAATCACAGGATTTTTGACTTTTTCTACTTTTTACATTTGAACAACTTAGGTTAAAATAATGGGAAAATATTTCACAATAAGAATACTTTTACCCTAATTTTTTTTTGTATATAAAGCAAATAAAGAGGAAATGTTTTCGAAAATTAGCTGATGCTCAAATAGACCATCGTTAGTTTAAAACTGTTTATTCTAAACCTGCACGAACCTCATAATTTGTGTACTCTTTGCGTGTGTGCGGTTTTTTTTTATCTTTCTTGACTCTAACAAATTGACTCTCACGAAAATAAAACAGTTTACAACAACTATACAAGACGCTCAAGTTTGAAAAGTGATGTCCATAATTACACACACATGCTGGGGATATTTTAATCCCGTTTTCAATCAACAAAAGAGACTTGACAAAAACAACTAATGCATTCACACTTACCGGTACTTAACAACAAAGAACTTTCGACGAGTGAGTCGTAGTGTACGGGTGCTTAACACCACGGTTTATCGTACAGTTACGTCAAAGGTGGTCCTGCTGCTTTCAACAAGTACCGTAAGAAACAACAACTTACAAGCAAAGTACACACACAGTCCCTCTGTGTTACACAGTACTACACTGTACTCGGTACTCTTTCAGCAGGAACACTGAACCGCAGACATGCGTGCTAAACTGTTCTATTACAAAATTATTCATACACTTACTTGCAACTATTTCAGGGCCAGAAGAATATATCTTTAGCATTGATTGTCACATGAAAACACAAAGCTGGGGATAAAGACTCGCTTCACATACTGCAGTAGTTTAGTAACCTGCTGAGGTGTCGCCCTCAACGACAAAGACAATCATTTATCGAAAATTAATTAACACGACGGAATTGTGGGTATGACCTTGAGCGACCTAAATCGGCGTTTACATCGTCATCAGCCGACAGCTCACTGTAGCTTTCACGCTTAGAAAGCGTGTTCGCATTATCGCGCCTGTTATTAAACATTAGAAGCCAATATGTATTACTAAGGTAACGTGTTATTATTAGTTTCTAGACAGCAGTTGTTGTGACATTATTTCTTTATGCTTATTGTGTAGCTTTTTTAGGTGAAATTACTGCCTACTGTTTACTTCCGGTTGGTGTAGTTTTGTTGACATTTTAATATGGCGGCCAGCGACGGTGTTTGTGTATACATTACGAGATTTTGCCGGTGGAAAAAAATACTGTTTTTTTTTATATTAATTAGTTATTTATAACTCTTAACAATTTGCAGTACATTGACGTGAATATATAAATAATATTTGTTCACACTGAAAGTGGCCTGGAAGGAGGCAGCTCGGGCATTCACGTTTGTATTTTAAGTATTTATTGTTATACATGTACATAGTTCATTATAATGGCGAAATTTCAACCAGGAAGAATGAATATTCTTAATTTTATTCATAGCATTAAGGAAATCAAATGAAATGATCAAGATTTATGTTAAATAAAGAAATGTGTAACTCCGTTTGCCCCATTCGTGGAAATTAAAGGGTAGTGGTCCAATTCGCCAGATATGGGTCTCATATAAACAAAGATGGCGATTTTTTGACTTTTGCGCTCACCAACAAGTACAAACTAAGGAGTTACCAAGCTTTAATTAGGTATTTTTAGGTGATTGGAAGGTATCGAAGGAGTCACCGGTGGTAATTAGTGCAAGTCGCACCCAGGGCTAAACTCGTACTTGTATTTTTTCCGAGCCAGTGCAGATTAGCCCTATGTTTTGGTCATTGAAATATGACTTATTTTGACCATAGATGGTGATAGACCCATTAACTTAAGTTTAAAATAATAATAAAAGTACAAAAAAAGAGATCTCTACTGAATGAGAATTAGCTAATTTTTGTTTGTAGGGCAGCTATATATTGCTGCCCCAGTTTTTTAAGCAATTATTAATTAATTTATAGATTTCTCTGATTAGCTTATTATTTTTGTTTGTTAGTAAGGTACCAGTTACCAGTTTCTCATGATCTGTCTAATCATTTTGCATACTTAATCATGTCTTTCATTTCCATACCATTTGCATCAGATTAGAAAATGTCGGACATTTTTTTTTTTTTTTTACGTAAAACATTCTAACAAAGATTTTGAGGTTCGAATTTTTCATCATTTTCCCTACTAGGCTTACAAACAATCACACAACGACAGTAAGAATGATTACCAGCAATTCTAAATTCTGAAGATTATCACAATTACAAAGAGTACTTAGCCGAGTTGTTCATATATTCCTACATTGTACTGTGGCACAAAAATATGAAATCAACCTGCATTTTTTAAAATTTGCGAGAGATACAACATTGTGCTCGTGTGATCATGGTACAGTGAAGTGTGAAACTTCCTGTGTAAACATCTCACATCATAATTATTTTTGCAACAAGAGCGACAATACTACTGTAGAATACTTTATTTTCACTTGTAATCATTTTTCGCTATTTACGCTGAAGGAATGATTCAGTGAAAATAAATTCCAGTGAATATACCTTTTTTCCTATATGTTACATACCGGTATAGCTTGTCAACAATCAGTGAAAATAAATTCCTTTCTAAACACCCAAGAAGTCTTTTCAGCGAAAATTACAGCAAGTCTCAGGAGTATTGGGGCAGCAAATTTGCAAACTCCTCGAATTGGCTAACTGCTTGGGTTTTGACTAAACAGTTGGCTTTCGAATCTCGCTGGCGCTGATCTGGCCGTGTCCTCTCAG